GGGTTCGGGTTGACCCGAACCCGAAGCGGGTCGGGTTCGGGTCCAGGAAATTGACCCATTTGTAAAAACGGGTCGGGTTGACCCGAACCCGAACAGTGCCTGGTCAATTTCGGGTTTGACCCGAACCCGACCCGTGACCCAAAAGTGACACCCCTAGAATCTGAGTAAGTCTTTATGTATAGGAGTTTGATTTTGACTATTGTGACCTGAGAAGTTTCTACAAATTTTCTAGCAGATGAATTGAGCTAAGTCTTTGGAAATGCAACACTTAAACGCCAATTGTCAGAACTCTGATAGCTTAATGGAGATGAATCTTAATCCTAGAATAGGTTAAAATGCTCAAAAGATGGGACCTGAGGAATTGAATTTCATCTTTGAGACCAATTTGAAACTTTAAATACATGTATTTTCGTTATAAATGTTAATACCATTCAAAATTTAAACAAAAAGAGAACCATGTTAACAAATATTTAGCACCATTAGCGTAAATCTCTTTAAAGACCAAAAACCAAAGTTTGGTGATCATAGTAAAATCTCCTAAGGCGCTAGGAAGTTAAGGATTCTAAAAAATACAGAACTATGTGAAGTTTGGTCCAAACCTCAATGACTTCCTTGATGTTTACCCAAATTATAATTTGTTTGATTATTTGCTTGGCATTTAGCAATATTTACAAATATTGCCTAAGACTTGAGAAACAACTTGGAGGCGCAGTTATGCAAGACTAGAGTTTACTTGCCATTATACTTGGTCTTCAATTGCATGACTGAATGTTTTGTTTTCTCCACAAAAAGCCTATTTTATTATGAATTTCAAAATAAATGTTTAGTCCATATGATTTATAGTGTTTGTACTCATCAAAATAACACGGGGTCAACAGAGTTGGTATGTAACTTTGAAAATTTTGATGGCTTTGTTCTATGTAAAAGTTGAAATAATCTAAAGGCAGCAGTATTATTTACTGATTATGATTATTTGCTTCCAGCAATACAACATTCCTGTTTGCTGGAAATTTCTCTGCAGATGATTTGGAAGGTGATGAAGATTTTCGAAGCAGTCCATACACTGGTACCACAGATTGTTCTCCACATGAAGCGGGTGGTGTTTCTGAAGTGCTTCTTGGCTCTGAAGGCCGTCGAATGGATGCACATCACCATGCATTGGAGCATGTAGAGAATGAGATAGAGATGGAAGATGCACTTACAATATCTCCTGATGAGAGATCTATTGGAGGCGGTTCTTCCTATAGTCTTCCTGATCAGGAGAATTGCAGGGTTTTTGAATCTACATGTGGGAATCAAAATGAGCTCTTACTTCTACGGGAAGGTTCTCCTCCTCTTCCTTTAGATCCTTCACTTGCTACACCGCCATTGCCTCCTTCACCGCCTCCCCCTACACCTCCACCTCCATCATCACCCCCACCCATGCCACCACCAAAATCACCTCCTACAATACCACTTCCATTAGAACTATCTGCAGTAATATCTCTCACTCAGTCACAAATGCCATCGTCTTCTTGTCCATATAGATGTAATCCTTCCCTTCGGAAGGAATATTGCAGGATGGAAAATGTAAGTTTTTGAACCGGATGCTTCTAAACATATTGTGTTGTTCCATGCCTATGGTTGCTTTAACCACATCTTCCTCGTACAGGACAAGAAGTTACTTCAGCCAATTGGCAAGAATGCCACTGAAGTTTCAACTGTTGAATTGAAAAATGATTCCGTTGTGCAACAATCTCCTATTTTTTTGGCAACTGGAATTAACAATACAGAGTTCATGTTTGGCATTACATCTTCCTTACCATTTGAAATTGCACATGACAGGCATTTAACGCATGAAGTTTCCCACTCCAGTAAATTGTTTCAACAATGCGGTGAAACTATCCAGCAGATGCCTTCAGATTCTGCTCTGCCAGCACTGAGGATCCTAAATCATCCACTTCTAAGTTCTCAAATGTTATCAGATCCTCTTTCTCATGGGAATTCCATTTGCCAACACCATTTACAGCAAAAATATAGTCCTTACACCTCAACATTTCCATTTGGTCAAAGGAAATATGGTGCTGAGGAGCAATGGATGTCACATTGTAGTGATGTTGATCAGGATAATTATGATGCTTGGAACATAGGAAGGAAAATATCATCATGTATTAGTGCACCTTCTGTTCAAGATGGTATGTGTCACCACATATATGCAATATATGTTCAGGAATGTGCAATACCTTTCCACATTCCTGTAAATAGATGAACTTTATGAGATGTTAGAATCTATTTATTGAAGGTGTTAACTAGAATGTTCCTCCTCATATAGGGTAACCAAGTGATCTGTCGTTTCTGTTGCAGGCTGTTGCAGATTAAATATGGAAAGAACTTCTACTTCCATTGATTTTCATCATCCTCCACATTATTCAGCACCATCTCAAGCTTCATTGACAGGTGGCCTTAATTGTTTATTGCTGCTTTGCTAATATGCTATATATTTGCTTGTCATACAATTTTTGACACATAGTGGTGGACTTTTGTTTTTTCAGGTGATAGTATTCACAATTTTACTGGTATAGATTTTTGGAGGCCCACATAAATGTATTTATTGTTTGTCCAAGGGGTCTGGTATGTACTTTATTTTCCTCTTGGTTATTAATACACACTTCTTTTCCCCTATTACTTATAGCGGAAGTTTAACTTTATTCTATTTGTCAGCTATAGAAATTCACAGGATTTTGAATTGAACTACAAAAATCGCTTACTCTTTCAGGTTTATGGGAGATTCAAAGTTTTGTAAATTTATATTGTGGTTGATTTCTTGATGATACCCAAAGTTTCGCTGATAGATGAAGAGAGAGGCATTTGGTTTTTTCAGGAATTTGTAAATTGCAGTTTTTACTGATCTTATACAACAACAGATTTTTCAGCAATAAATGTAAGGCAATGTAAATTGGAGAACTGAAAATTTGCAATAACATTTTCTTTATCAATTGAATTTCTAATCCTACTGAAAACCTTCAACTTCATATGTTTTAGATGAATTTATTTTCAAGTCTAAGCATGAACTTCAGAAATATCATACTCATTTTAATTATTTTCATCTGCATTATTCCAATAGAAATGTGGTTAGCTTTTTGAATTCTCTATTAAAAATATTGATGGACACTCGTTTGATTAATAGTCCATGATTGATAGCTTGTTGGATGCTTTCAGTTTGGAACTGAACTTGTTTAGTCGGTAATTGACAACTTAAGACCATAGAAGGCTATTGAATGTGCATGGGCGTAGGCAATTAGTCCTTCAGGTATGTTTTTTATTTTTCAGCTTGTTAACAAGTATTGCAATAATTCAGTTACTCGTTTAAGTAGCACTGTTATGCAAAGCTTTTGGCACATAGCATGCTTGCATGATGCATGTCAAGCATTTCATGTGTCGTTTGCTCTTACATTGAAATTCCTTGAGCAATAATAGGTCTGTGTCTTTAGCTGCTGCTTTTATGCTTCAACTTTATATAGTGAAAGAGAACTTGAAATAGAAGATGATTTTATAGATTTACTCTATGATAATTGCCATCCTCATTTTTTACCATTTAAATGCACTTCATATAGGTGGAAAGTTATGCAAACAACTATATTTAAGAGGAGTGTGCTCTTATAAGGAATTCTTATTATTGCATTTCTAACATTTTTAGCCTTTTATTTTTTATTTTCTTGAATTGGAACTATGGAGAAGCACTATCTAATTTAAGGGTGTTTTTTTCTTGCATTACTCAACTCAGCATCCTTTCAAGGTTCAAAAACCTAAGTCAATTCTAGAAGTTCAAGCATTTCTCAACTCAGCTAGTCAAAAATCTAGTTATTGTATTGCATTTGTCCGTGAATCTTATTATTGAAGCGGGTTTCCTCTAATGGTTCATAAACTTGTATCAATTCTAGAAGTTCAATCCTTTGTAAACACCAATTAAGAGTTTAATTATTGAATTGAGTTAGTCTATGAATATTATTATTCTGATGATCTAGGTTCTAAACATTAGTTATTTAGGTTCTAAACATGAATTATTGATTATAATCATTCATTATTAATTGAGCTTTTGTTGAACCTAAATTTTAATAATACTCAAGTCTCCACATAGTTAACTTTGATATATATATATATATTCACACAAAATACTAGTTTTGTTACCATTATTGGCAATGTCATCTGATTATGGGACTTCTATGGTACTATTTTGAGAAAGATGTATGATCTATGCTGTCATTGGAAATTGAAGCCCCTAAATTAGTCATGTGTTTATTTTTCACATGTTGAATATTCAAGAGATTTTTGTTAAGCATGTTCATCTTCTCTTCCAACATGGAAAAAGATTTCAAGAAAGAAAATTTGAACAACTCTCTAAGAGGGGAGCTTTTCAATTTTAGGGGAGTTGATGCACTGCAAGATTTCAACATTTTTTAATTACTTCAAGGCCTTTAACTATTGATTTTCTTTATTTCGAATTAGATGTAATTTTAAGAATTTGCTTATTATTTAAGTTTGAATTTAAATTTGTGATCCTATTTCTATAAAAAACTTGTTGCTGCTACTTTGATATTGAATGAATTGAATTTTAAAATATTGCTGTTCTTTATTCTCTCTCCTCTAGCTTTCTTTCTCCAAATCAAGTTTCTCTTCACTTATGTCCCTTTCCATTTTACATCACTATTTCTATAAAAAACTTGTTGCTGCTACTTTGATATTGAATGAATTGAATTTTAAAATATTGCTGTTCTTTATTCTCTCTCCTCTAGCTTTCTTTCTCCAAATCAAGTTTCTCTTCCTTATGTCCCTTTCTCTCTCCCATCTTTCAAAATACAAATTCTTCTCTTCTTTATTTATCCTATTCCAAGAATAGAAAGTGCAATATTTCTTCAGTCTTAAATATAAGATACAAGATTCTTCTCTCTCTCATACATCTCAAGGCTATGTTTATATTTTTCTTTCTTGGTGTAAATCCCAATTACTTGAAATCAGGGAGAAATCAAGCAAATTAGAGGCTTTCAAGCAAGGAAGAGCAGAGAAGATCAAGAAGTGATCAAGGGTCCATTATTAAATTGGCATATAGATTTATTCTTCTTCTATGCCAAAGATAACATCTTTTGGGGCCTTACTATTGTACACCCATGACTACTTGTGTAGGTATTCGTTCATAGGTGTCTTGTTGGTTATGTTTCGGTTGAGCGGAAAGAATACTCTCTCCTCTCCCAAAACAGCCTGTTTGAGGGACTTGTCAGGTGCTGGGAAGGAGCTTAACACTGGAGCATGGCGAACCAACTTCAGCCATCACCTGCATCAAAATTTTAAGAACTTGCTTATTATTTAAGTTTGCATTTAAATTTGTGATCCTATTTTTATAAAAAAAAAACTTGTTGCTGCTACTTTGATATTGAATGAATTGAATTTTAAAATATTGCTGTTCTTTATTCTCTCTCCTCTTGCTTTCTTTCTCCAAATCAAGTTTCTCTTCACTTATGTCCCTTTCTCTCTCCCATCTTTCATAATACAAATTCTTCTCTTCTTTATTTATCCTATACCAAGAATAGAAAATGCAATATTCCTTCAGTCTTAAATATAAGATACAAGATCCTTCTCTCTCTCATACATCTCAAGGCTATGTTTATATTTTTCTTTCTTAGTGTGAATCCCAATTACTTGAAATCAAGGAGAAATCAAGCAAAATAGAGGCTTTCAAGCAAGGAAGAGCAGAGAAGATCAAGAAGGGATCAAGGGTCCGTTATTAAATTGACATATAGATTTATTCTTCTTCTATGTCCAAGATAACATCTTTAGGGACTTTACTATCGTACAACCATTACTACCTGTGTAGGTATTCGTTCATAGGTGTCTTGCAAGTTATGTTCCGGTTGAGCGGAAGGAGTACTCTCTTCTCTCTCTAAATTGCCTGTTTGAGGGATTCGTCAGGTGCTGGAAAGGAGCTTAACATTGGAGCATGGCTAACTAGCTTCAACCATCACTTCCAAGCGATCACCCTTCTCGATGAGGGCGACCTTAGAAGTTCCCATCTTAGTTAGAAAAATCTTTATCTATCCCGACCATAGTCAAAGTCCCCCATGCAAACCACGTCAACGACCAAGCTAACAACATCCATCTCTCCCACAAGACTTCCCTAGCAGTCAGATTGACCTCAGGAATGCATCAAGATGCTACTCACCCCTCTCACCTCAACAGGGCGACCTCAAACTGGTTTCCTGCTATACACCGGCCTAACCTCTGAACTGCATCCAGATACTGCTCGCCATTTCACCTCAATAGGGCGACCCCCGACTGGCTTCCTACCGACGCTGATTCGATCCGCAAGTCTATCCTACTCGCTCCCCCTTTCACAATATTCACCATTTCAGTCAGCATGGACAGTTGAGCTACGTCGAAGACGGATAAGACAACTATTGTATCTCGTGCATATCCATGGTAACTCCCTAAGCCCTACAAGAAGAGAAAGAGTCGGGAGGGGGGCACAGACAGCTAGAGGAGAGAAGAAGAGAGAGCAAAGGATATCTACATCTCTCTTAGATTTATCTCTCTTTTTAACTCACACCTTTGATGATTGTTGAAAACCTTGAAGAAAGATATCTTGAATTCCTACATTCCTCCCTCATTGCGGTCCCTCCTTGGCAGCTGCTCCTCCACTGCAGCCTTGCTTCCTCCTCCGGACTGAGAGCCAATAGCTCTCTAGCTGCCCACCTACACCACAACCTTGGTTCCACTACCTGACCGAGAGCCAATAGTTCTCTAGCTGCTTCTACCGAGAGAGAGAGAAGGGGGAAAAAAAATATCGGGAGAGAGGGTGAGAGAACTCATTGCTTTGAAGAAAAATAGAACTTATTTTATTATTCACCTTGAAACAAATTTAAGTCACTCTTATCTATACTAAATAACCCAAAGGGGCAAAAAAGCAAAATAACCTAAAACAAAGACTTTAAGTAAATACAGAATTAACATGTTAAATAACAACCAACATCTAACAAGGAGAAAGACATGCTATGCTATTTTCCTTTTTTCTTGGCTTAAGCTCTGCAGTATAGAGCCATCACATCTATTATTCTTGTATATCTAGCTTGGATGATTAAGGTTTTATCTCAATCCATATCCTCTCTTACTATCTCCCTTTTCTTCTTGTATTCCGACTTTATCACCTTCACCCTCAGGCTTTTGGTCTATTGGTGGCGATAAGTATGGCCCGAAATCCTCCACCATACAAAACATGATTCAACAACTATCTTATGTAAAATGTTGGAGGAAGAATTTATTTATTTATGTAATTTGATTTTGTACCATTCTTTAATGTTAATTCCATTTTGTGGTCATAAATATCATATGCATGAGCTTCCTTTATTTCTTGGCGTGCTAAGGAGTGAAGTACTAATGGACAATGATTGTGCCTAAAGTAGCTGTCAATTTATAATGGTAGCCTGGTGGGTCAATGAGGCTACTATTGCTGATGATAAGTGATGGAAGCAAAATTAACGGTGGAGATAAAAAAAATTATTTAAGACATTGACCACGTATTGGTGCCGCCTCCTTTCAAATTGGTGTTGAAATAAAAAAATTTATTTCATCTACAGCTTGGGTTCTGTTGACTTAAAATTTTTGTTTTTAAGTGCTTCACTCATTTTTTCTTTCTTTTTAAATAAACTGTCAAAACTAATTGCTATCATATCTTGTTTTTCATTGAATATACCATGCTTTGTGTTGAATATGCAGCTGGAGCAGTGTGAGGTACTTTGAATTTTATTCTTTCAATCATGTTTAGTCTTGTTGACAATTGAGATTATTCATTATTCTCCTTTTTTTTGCTAGAAGATCTTTTCCATTGATTGCTTGTGTTTGTTAATCTTTTCTGGTGCGGTATTCGATTGTTTATAAGTTTATTGAGTAATGAGTGTCGAGCGTGCGTGTTTGAATGCTTCAAGAGGACACCGAAGTCCAAACTATGTCTTTGAAAAGTTAATTTATATCATCTAAAGCTAATCCTTTTGTTATTGTTTCTTTTGCGATGCTCATGTACCTTCTATGTTGAAACTGACGATTAAAGTATCGGAATATATAATGGTGCTGCAGAATTCTCCCTCCCTCTTTCCTTTTTTTACTTGTAAATATCAGCTTTCTTTTCTTTCTTTTTTTTTGGTACAGAGTTAAATTCTCTGAAAATAGTCCATATATCTTTCAAAGTTCCATTGTAGCATCTATAAAGATCAATTAGTTTCGATTTTAAAGTCTTTGAAAGTGACTGGAATTGGGTTCCCAAACTAAATTCAGTTTTTATTTGGTAGAAAGGGAAGTCTATTTCTATGTTTGGATGGAGTCTCTAAATGCTCATGCAAAACAAACAAACTGCTAGTATTGAAACAAAATGGACCTAATTGTCTCTGGCTTAGGTAGACAGTATGTTTCAATAGTTGAAGTTCTAAATTTTAATTTTTCTTTTGATTTCAGTGCATTGAGATTGTCTAGAGAAAACCTGCAATTGAACAAAATCTGATAAAAGAATGTTATTTTTCATTCTAGCCATGTTTATGAGATAGCAATAGCATTTCCATTTTCAAGCTTTTAGGTTATCTTGCTAGCTTTTATTTGGCTTCTAATGGGGATCTCTGAAATCTAAGGATAAAATTACATCTTTTAGCTCTGTTCGGTATACTTTTCCAAAGCATAAACTGAAAGATTTTCAAATATTTTTGTGGTTAATTTGATAGAGCTTTTAACTTTGGATATTCATAGATAGTTGCTCTTTGTTTCGATTAGTTAATTTTATTATCTAATTGTTATTTTATTTTCCTCTCTAACCGTTTTTAGGCCTTTTGTGAAATTTTGAAGCTGAATAACATAACACATTGTTTTTGGGCATGTTATGTTTAGGTTTCGTTTGTGACAGTTTTCTTACTGCTTGTTGAAGCAGTTTTTTAGTGCAAAAATTAAAACTTTTGTACTAAAAAACTGCTTTAAGAATTAGTAAAAAAGCCGTCTGAAACGAATACAAGATGAGAAATGACTGCAGCAATAGATTGAAGATGTAACTGTGGATGAGATTCGAAATTAAATTGCCCCATTGGCTTTTGTCGATCAGGAAATTCTATTTCTATCCTCTATAATTCGAGCCCAATTCGACTCGTTTGCAACCCTAAGTAGTAGTATTCAGTATTTGGATAAAATTTTATAAATATGAATGAAACTATTCTAATTTTGATTAGTTTGGTTCGTTTGTTAAAGCATTGGCGCAGTTATTTGTTATAATTTTGACTTTCTTTGATTTTGGTTATTGATTTGATTTTTTTTTATAAAATCTATCAAACAAAAATAAATTAATCTCTTCCAAGATTAAATTAACAAATCATATATATACTGTAAATAAGCAAGTTATATAAATTATAAATATGAATATTATTTATTTTTTTATTTATCAAAATTATTAATTTTAAAATTAGTTATAGTCTTATTCATCTAAATTTTAACCTGGCCGAGTAACCAATGTATGCTCTGTTTCAGATTAATTTCGAATATCATTTGAGTGATTTAATTATTATTAGCACCATTATTTTTAATTTTAAAACTAAAATTATTTTATTTAGTTAATTTTTCAGCAAAATTACCAAATTAAACGCCCGATTTAGAAGGTTTCATTTGAGACAGCTTTTTCGTAACTTTTTAAATCAGTTTTTTTGTAAAAAAATTTTGTATTAAAAAATTATTTTTAAAAACAGTAAGAAAGTTATTCTAAATGAAATTTAAATTTTAAAAATTTCCATTAAAAGATTAAAACTTTATTTTTGCATAATAAATAAATAAATATAAAGTTCTTGTTATGTATAGACATTTATATAATTTCTATTTACGAGCAATTAAATGAGCCTTTAGTGGAAGTTCTAAAAACATGCAACACTAATGAGATTATGAGAATAAATTTTATCTCATCTTTAAAAATAAATTAAAAAAAAAACACCATTAGCAAAAACAATTCTACAGTACTATAAATTTACCTAACATTTACGTTCGGTACTTCACAGTACTGAGCAGTATTGAGCTCGATACTGTGAAGTACTGAGTACCGAGTAGTACTGAGCTAGGTGATGAGCAGTACCGAGCTCGGTATTGTTTGGTACTGCTCAGTATCGAGCTCAGTACCGAGTAGGAGGTGATGTGGCGCATTTTCATTGAGCTCCGAACACGTCTGGTGTCCGAACCCAATAATTTGCCTCCACTTGGGCAGATAATAGACCAACGTCCCTTTAAAGTGCAATGAAGGTCGCAAATCTAGATCACAGACATTATTATTATTTTTTTAGGTCTAAGACATTGTTGATCACCCCTTAACTTTGTGATTTGAAGCCTTGCTCAACAAACTTTAGCGTTTCCATTTTTGCCAAAATGTGAAGGCTCACTTAATTGAAAAAATATTTATTTAAATAGCTAATTTATTACATTTTATCATGTGATTGGATCTTCGAATTATTACATGATTTAATGATGATTTTATTTTTACAATCAATATGAGAAATTAATTTAAATAAATTTTGATCAAAATTCGGAAAAACAAAAAAAAATCCATAACATTTTCACCTTCTATTAAAAACAAAAGATATTTCAAAAGCTCAAAATGTTGCATCAAAACCAACCTTTATATTGCTTTCTTCTTCTGAAGAGATTTTCAATAATAGTGAGTAATTATTTTGTGCGGATGCTGAACGTCGTTCAGAGATCAACCAGAATGCGTCACGTCACCCCTTCATACTGCTGACATAGTGCTGACATAGTGTATTTTGATTGTTCTCCGGACGATAAATTATCGTTCAGCATCCGTTCAGAATAATTTCTCTTCCATAGCATAGCAGAGAAGATCAAACAGGCTACTTGATTTTTAATTTTCAGCATTAAAAAAATTTACCAAAATAAAAATAAAAAATGGCATCTCCTCTGCAAATGGAAATACATCTAATTGGACAATAATAGATATGAACTCTCAAATTTAGATCAGAAATTTTTTTCTATCTGATATTTCTACACAGATACATTGATGATACTTAATCAGCAACAACACAGCAAGGACTCAGTCACTCAGAATTTCCATGGAAATAAAAAAAATCACATCCATCAAAAGAAAAAAACAGATCAGATTTGGTCCCATCTTCCTCTATCTTTCCATGGAAATCAAAAATCTTCTTCTAATCTTGGCAAAGAAAGAAGCAACAAAAGTAATCGAAACAACTACCAGTGCAATCGTAGCAACAAGAACAACTGAATCAAAGAAAATGCCGAAATCAAATCAAGCAGAACCAAAAAAAAAAAAGTAAAAAGATGAAAAGAGAACATACCATTCATTAATGGCGTCGTCTTGCGGATCATCAATTGTTGACATCCTTTGAGAGGTTGGAGGATCCATCCCTGTTTATCAATCTTCTCTTCCCTTCCCTTCTCTTTCTTAGAGACGGAAGAAAGACGAAGAAGCTGTGAAGAAAGAGAGAAGCAGTGAGAAAAAAGGGCAGTGAAAGCCAGAAAGGGTTGATTCCACTCTGCGCTTTCTTATAGTTTTTTTTTCTTTGGGAGCTATTTGAGGAAGGTTACTTCCACTATACATTAATTGCAAAACCAAATTTTTAGAACCATTAGGGGGAATTGTGAAAATATCATTTTGCACTTAAGTTGTAGGTTTTAACTTAAATTTATAAAATAAAAGGTGCGAAGTGCAAAAAGCTCCACTTTATCACTTTAAATTTTGAATCTTGGAATTCTCAAGTAGGGGTGTCAATTTCAGGTAACGGGTCGGGTTCGGGTCAAACCTGAAATTGACAAGGCATTATTCGGGTTTGGGTCGACCCGGCCCGTTTTTGCAAACGGGTCAATTTTCTAGACCCGAACCCGACCCGCTTCGGGTTCGGGTCAACCTGACCCCACTTGTTTCAGTCGTGGCAGCGGGCAGGCGGGGGTGGCGCACTGGCGGAACGCGTTAGGGCAGACCAGCAAAAGCGGGCAGCTCCGCAGGCCCGTAGCGGTCGTGTGCGGCAGCTGGGTACCGCGGGCGCGAGTGTGAGGGCCCGCGACAACGGAGCAGACGGCCAAGCGACAACAGGGCTGTGGTCGCGCGAGGGCCCGCGACAACAAGTCAGGCGGCAGGCGGTCGACTGCGCGACGCGGGGCTGACGTGATGACGCGGGGCCGACAGCCGGGTTTATGTGTTATTCCGGGTCAATTCGGTTCATTCCCGGGTTTCCGGGTCAACCCGAACCCGACCCGATTTTGCAAACGGGTCGATTTTTCAGACTCGAACCCGACCCGCTTCGGGTTCGGATCAACCCAAACCCGAAATTTTCGAATCGGGTTCGGGTCGGATTTTCAGGTCAGGTCCAATATTGACAGCTCTATTCTCAAGCGGGCACAGTTGCATAAAAGGCCTTGTTATTATATAAATCATGCAAAAGGGTCTTTTTCTGTTTCTGAAATTGAATATATATATTTATATATCAAATATTCTAATATTTTAAATAGGAGCATAATTAATACGTAATTAAGCAAAAGAAACTTGATTATTATATAATTTAAAAAGGAGAAAAAACCAAATAACTTGAGTTTTTTATAGAAAATATAATTAATTAAAAAAAATGTCAAATTATTTAAACATACTCTTTTAAAAATTTGGTCCATAAAATATATCATGAAGGCTATAAAATTCTACTACATATTTAAATTTCAAATTTAAGATATAAATAAATCACATAATTTTTTAAAAATGTTATAAGATTTTAAAATCATCTTATGGTTAGAAATTCTTGATGCAATTTTTTCAATATAATTTATCACAATATCAGAAATTTAATATTTCATGAATTTAAGTCTTAAAAAAACAAATTTTGTAGATCTAATTTTCATAGCTTAGCAACAAAGGAGAGAAACACTCAATTAATATTTATAAAAATTATGTCAATAGATCATAATAAAATTTATATTAAGATGGGCTTCAAAATCATTATATATTTTGTAATATTATATT